TGATATATACACCCACTCCAATTCATGATATATACACCCACTCCAAGTCCAAACATGTATGCGCAGGTGCGCGCATAGAGACGTTCATCATACACACACACTCCAAGGCAACGCGTGCATGCGCAGGTGTGCGCACACAGACATTCAACACATACACTCCAAGTCCGAACGTTCATGCGCAGGTGTGCGTACAGAGACGTTCATCATACGCGCACACTCCAAGTCGACGCGTGCATGCGCAGGTGTGCGTAGAGAGACATTCATCATCTACGTAAACACTCCAAGTCCAAACGTTCATGCGCAGGTGTGCGCATAGAGACATTCATGATATATACACACTCCAAGTCGACGCGTGCATGCGCAGGTGTGCGCACAGAGACATTCATCATATGCGCACACTTCAAGTCAATGCGTGCATGCGCAGGTGTGCGCACAGAGACCTCCAAGTCGACGCGTGCATGCGCAGGTGTGCGCACAGAAATATTCATGATATATACACCCACTCTGCATGCGCAGGTGTGTGCACAGAGATATTCATAATATATACACACTCCAAGTCGACGCGTGCATGCGCAGGTGTGCGCAGAGAGATATATATCAGAGACATTCATGATTTATACATGATTTATACACCCACTCCAATTCATGATATATACACCCACTCCAAGTCCAACCACACCCTCGGCCGCCACCAGCCCGGCCAGTCCCACCCCTGGCCGTCCCAGTGCCCCGCCTGCGCCAGTCAGTGCGACCCCTATAGCGATCACTTCTTCAAGTGCCGCAGCGGCTTCCAGTGGATCCACCGGCACAACGCCTTGGTCAGCGCGTTTGCACGCATTGCGCGTGAGGCGAAGGCTGACGTCAGAAAGGAGCAACTCGTGCGGAACTACGGCGTGTCCCTCCAGCAATTTACCACTAAGAAACGGATGGACCTCGTCGTGCGGATGCCCGATGGAGCTCAGACCTTCCTCGACGTCAGCGTCACCCACCCGTGCCATCGCGACGACCCCGGTCGGCGTGAGAACCGGACCAACCAGACGTCAGGCGCAGCGCTGAGGGCAGCAGAGGCCGACAAGATCCGCAAGTATGGCGACATAGCCAACCAGACCGGCTTCAGCTTCATCTCGCTCGCCTGCGAGACATTCGGCCGCTGGTCGCCAGCCACCGAGACCTTTCTGCACAAACTGGCCAAGGGCGTGCGCGAGAACCACTACAAGAACGACCCCAGTATGTCGACCGGCCTCATCGTGTCCCGCTGGTGGTGTGTGCCATCGATCGCACTCAAGCGGTACAACGCCTGGCTTGTCTCCGCCAAGACCAACCCCGATAAGAAGACTGACACCACCCGCCCCTTCCCCGCCGACGAAGTCTGAGGCAAGGGCCCCTTCTTCCCCCACTGAGTATATACAACGGCACATCGCCCGGTTTCTCGGCCGCCCCCTCTCTGCGTGCCGCCAGTCGGCGGTTTTCCTCTCTTCGGCGCGCTTCGTGAGGTCCGTCTGACCGATCAGCCCCCACGGGATCGGTGATTGGTGGTGCTGCATGGTGTCTGGTGTGAGCTGCGGCGGGGGTTTTGGAGAGGTAGCTGTGAGTGTGGAGCGGTGTTTTCTGGCATGGTGTCGCCGTGAGATGATGCGCGAGGATGGAGAAGGGTGGCCCATGAGGATGGGGGCATGTGTGACTGGGCGAGGTGGTGGCGTTGGCGATGCATGGGGGTGTCACCGAGCATGTCTGTCATCAGGGCGCACGAGTCTGCGTGGGCCTGTGTGTGTCGGGGGCGTGTGTGTATGTGAATGTCTGTCTGTCTGTCTATGTGTCCGTCTGTCCGTCTGTCGGGGTCTGTGTGAGCATGAGTGAGCGAGCGAGTGAGTGAGGGCGTGAGTGAGCGTGTGTGTGTGTGTGTGTGCGTGGGCATCTGGGTATTCATCGCACTGCATCTAGTAGCCTTTCCTTGTGATTTTGCCAGTGCAGATTGTTGCTTCTGCTCGTCATTTGTCCGTGATTTGGTCAGGGGGCTGCTATCTCTGGGCGTCTGCGTGTCGTGCGTGGGGATCTGTCTTGCGTGGTCGATCGGTAGCCGATCTGCCTTGCTAGCTTTCGTGTCAGCATCTTTCATTCGTTCGTGTGCGTGTAGATTTGGGATATCGTGTGAGGCCGTAAGCCGTCCGCCCTTCACGTGAACCGCCGCCGCATCTGCCTTGCTAGCTTCGTTCGTGCCGACATCTTTCGTTTGTGTGCGTGTGGACTTGGGACATCGTGTGAGGCCGTAAGGCCGTCCGCTCTTCACGTGAACCGCTCCCCCCGGACTTGACTAGATCTGAAGGCTGTCAGCCACCTACTCTGTACCCTGAGACGAGCTCCATGTCGTTAGGGAGCGAGTTCAACGAGGTACTTCACAGGCAGCTCGGGATTTATGCAGCATGGCCTCCTGTTGTGGGCGGCGTCAATGAGTTCGAGGTGGGAGACTACGGTGTCATCCGAGGGGGCGTCTTCAGCTTCATGGGAAATCTCTCGAGGGACTTCCCCGGGATTCCCGAGATTGAAGTCCGGGAACTCGCGAGGGACTTTCCCGAGACTGAAGCCCAGAGCCATCGAGGACGCCGCCGTCGCCGCCGGCATGGTGGAAGAAGTCGCGCTGATGAGCCCGCTCCCACCTACGACAGCCACCCTCCCATCTACGACATCCAGTCGGGCAGAGTCAGGGTCGTTAGGGGTTCCGGTGGTTTGGCATTCGGATGGCTCCCGTTTGGCAAAGTGGATGCCAGTGTCACGTTCCGCTTCCTCCGTGACAAGACCGCCTGGTTGAAGGGACCCGTCCAGAAGTCTCACCAGATGGTCAACATCCTTGCGGCAGCAGACCACCTTCGCCAGAACCCTCTGTGGAGGGAGTACTACAAGGTGGTGTCGAGAGTCTTCATCGGTCGGCATTGCCTATTTGTGGCCGCGCACAAGAAGGGCACCAGCCTGGTGTTCAAGGGCGGAGCCAATTTATTCCACCAAGTCGAGTTCCCATGGGAAGCCAAGGTGGCGCTTCATGGGGAGTTCCACAACTATGAGGGAGACGTCTTCCAGAGCATCGGGGAAGAAGGCGTGGTGGGCCTCGGCCTCTTCAGCGTGAGCGACTACTTCCCAGAGCTCTACTCTCAGACGCCTCCTCAGACGCCGCCGCGCAAGGGGTCCAGCTGGAGCCGCAGGACGAGACCTAAGGCGGTAGAGAGACCCCACCTACACCACGCCAGCCTGCAGCCCTTGCAGGCCCCGCCTGCACTACCGCCGCCGTCCTCAGCAGAGGTGGCTGTCGCCAGGCTCACAGGGGGTGTGAGGCAGGAGCTGGAGGCGACGCCTGAAGTCCCTGAACGGGTAACCACCGACAAGCCCACGACTGCCCACGCAGGAGAGGTAGAGGGACCCCACGTGCCGTTGCCTCCCAGCGGCGGTTCAATCCTCATCAAGACCCTCACCGGTGAGTCAGTCAGCGAGTGGGACACAACTTGGGCAGGGAAACCACTCGCTCCACAGGGATCACCGCTGATTCCTCGACCCATCGTGTCTGGCTTTTGCTATGTGATTGCTTTGTATGTGCAGGCAAGACCATCACGGTGGACACAGTAAAGCCTTCTGACACCGTCGAGGACCTCAACGCGAAGATCAGAGACCAGTTCCCCTTCCCTCCTCAGCAGCAGCGCTTGGTCTTCGCCGACCATGAGCTCGAAGACCGGCGCACCCTGGCGTACTACGATGTGTACCAGGGGGCCGCAATCTATCTGATTCTCTGTCTGCGGGCCGGCGGCTCTGAATCAAATCAGCCTCTCGTGTCTCATCCGGTCGACGGGACAGACGAGGAAGGGCGGTCAATCGTATTTTTGCTGCACACCGACTGGGGAGACAAGCTCACAGACCACGACATCGAAGGTAGCGCCCCTCCCCCCTTGGCGCCAGCGGCGACAGCAGAGGCCGACACGAGCCAGCCATACTTGCAGGCCCCACTCCCAGAACGACGGCTGCCGAGGGCTTCTCAGTAGAGGAGGGTGTCGCGAAGCCCACAGGGGATATGGGCGAGGCCCGTTCCGCGGTCTAGGTCAATGGCTGACTTGCCAATGCTTAACGAGACGCTAGCACAATCAGGAAAGGGCTCTCCAAGACCGAAGGTAGAAGAAAGCGGGGCCAGTTCACTGGTGCCTGGATGATGAGCAAATCCAATAGAGAGTTATCTTGTGTGTTTTTGACTGAAATCACAGGGCGACGTCACAACGATCGTCAAATGTCTCACACAGTAGCTAGTACAGAGTTATCTGTTCTTTTTAGGTAGATACATGAACAGGCGACGAAGTTCGTCTAAGCATCAGTCCGTATCAAGCAAGCAAAGGGGAACAAGACATGCAAAGCCAATGAACAACGCTCATTGACTGCGAACAAATACATGTCGCACACTGCAAACAAGCGTGAGACATGCATCACGATACACACATTCACAGAATCCAGATCCAGCCAGCCACCTCACAGCCCCGGAGCGGGGCTGGTGTGTGGCCTATATGGCTCGCGGCTGACGAAGTCCTCGGGAAACGCGCTGGCCCTCCGTGGCCCTCTGGCGGCCGCCGCGCGTTGTGCACGACTCGCCACTTGAAATGCGTTGTGCTTCATCAGCTCGACGGAGAGAAGCTGGCTTCAATGGTTGATGATGCTTTCTCGGAAAGCTGTGTCCTCCTCCGTGGGAATGGACGTGGGGCGGGGCTTCCGCTTGGCGAGCATCTTGAGAAAATCCATCGTCTTCTCTCCCCACCTGCCGAATGTCTCCGCAGCAAGAGGCACAAAGCGGAAGCCGGCAGCTCGAGCGGTTGGCCCATACTTGTCGATCTTGTCCTTCTCCGCAAGCTGCGCCGTCTTGCCACCAGGAAGTTGTGCACTGCGCCGGTTGACTGTCCGGTGGAAGGGGATGGGGGAGTTATCAGGCCGGCAGGGATGAGCGATGGTGACGTCGAGCAGGTAATCACTACCGTCGATCACACAGTAGATGTCCATGCGCTGGTTGTTGGCGTTGTCGTCGGGTGGGGTGATACCGAGGCTGTGCAGAGGCACCTCCACATTGGAAGGAACATCTGCCTCAGCCACGAGCGAACAAACAAGTTGCGCATGTTGTTGTGTCTCGTCACCCGCTCACGGCCGGTGTGGCATATGTAGAAGTGATCGCCAAACTTGTCAACCTCCCCATCGCAGATGCATCGCTGCGGGACGGTTGTGCGCGGGAGGCTGATGCCGAGACACCCGGCGACGGCATGACGATACTGGAAGTTGTTCAGTGCCTTGCTATCGCTGGAAGGGATCGCTGACAGCCAACCAGACGAGAGAGGCCCTTGGCAGCTCAGGAGACGGGCTCGGGCCCTGCCGTCGGGCGGGACAGAGTTGAAGAGCTCGTTGAAGCGGAACTTGTGCAGTTGATCGGTCAGGCGCTGCTTCAGGCGGACCTGTGGCCTCGAGACAAGGTCCTGGAGGGAGGGGAGGGAGAAGGAGGGGCCAACCACCTCAGAGACGGCAGTCAGGGCAGGGACTGCTGCTTGAAGCCAGGGCAGATCCAACAGAGCAGCGAGCCCTCCGTAAGGCATCCATGGCGCTCCACGAAAACGGGCGAAGACATCAGAGGCCGTCACTCCGATCGAGCTGAGAAAGGCCGCGCGAGCAATCGTGGTTCTAGAGATGAGGCCGAAACCCCCTAGCCGAATGGGAAGCTGAACTTGTGCGGAGACCGAGTCCGTGAAGTCGCCAGGAAAGCGGAACATGCGCCTGAATGCCGTAATAATAGCGGCGTCATGTCGCTCGGCGGCTGCCAGGGAGACGTCGGGGTCCGGGGGGAGGAGGCGCAGCCAATACTCCAACCGGGGGGATGCACAATAGCGCAGAAGGAGGCCAGAACCCTGCAGGCCCATCTGAGCGAAGGTCACGATTGCCTCGAGCAGCGGCTGATGGTCGGTGGTGATCTTCTCGAGGCTGCTCTGGACAAAAGACGCGCCGCCGAGCGGGCAACCGAGGACGGTGATGCCTTCAATGGAGCACTTGACGCCAGAGATGGCGATGTCTGCCGGAATGTCAGAGTCTTGTTGCCAGCGGGGGCTCTATGCTGCGCTCTTGTCTCTCCGCAGCCTCAGCTTCTTCTCGGCCAAAAGCTGCTCTGCTCTGTCAACATACCGCATAACACGCGTCTCGTCCAATCCACCGTCGATGTCGTCCATGAACGCACCAACGAAGTCATCGGGGAATTCCTCTTGCAGCTTGACAAGGGCTGGCTGAAGGCCCAGGCAGAAGAGGAAAGGGCCCGCCGCGTCGCCTTGCTGGGTGCCCTCCTGACTGAGGATGGTCTCCATGCGTCCGTCCTCCATGCGATACCACAGCTCAGCCGGAGTGCCGTAGAACTACCAGAAAAAGTCGACAAGGGACGGCCACTTTGTGCCGAGCTCGTTGAGGATCGCCTGGCGGTCGATGCTCTTGAAGGCATTCTTGCAATCCAAAGTCACCAAAACACGCTTATCGGAATTGTAGTGGCGTGTCTCCATGAGGGTCTGATAGGCCCGAAAGAGCTTTTCTCCACCTGCCGACGTACCGACCGCGAACTGCAGGGGTGAAAAGTCTTCCTCGAAGGCAAGTTTGCTCTCCATACAGACCGCCTTCGTCACCCATCTCCGAAGCACATCACCCACAGCAATCGGCCGGACCCCTCCGTTGTCTTTCATCAGAGCAAAAAGGCGGGCGACCAAAAGAGTTTTAGTGCAGGTATCCGGCATATTTCCAGCGAGCATCCGATTGACAAGGGAGGGCAGGGGGACGGTCTGGTCTTGCGCCGTCGCATCACCCTCCCCCATGCAAGCACGAAGATGCTCGTACCGCCAGCCCGTAGGGCCAGCTGCGGATCCTCGTGGCGCCGTCTTGAGGGCAGCCAACAAAACCCTGGGCGGGACCGAGAGAGGCGTGGGGGGTCCATCTGGGCTGTGCTGGGGCTGCGGTTTGGTAGGCGACGGGGCAGCAGGGTGTAGGTCCTTGAGCTGCTGGAGTGTCGCAGCCGTCGCTGCGCCGTCTACCTCGCCAACGTTCCAGCGACGAAGAGAGGCAACGGCTCGTATGCCTGGTTCTGTCTGCGCAGGTGCTTCCTCGGTGACGGCTCGGCATCGGTGACCGCCTGCTCGACGAGCTCCGCAGCTTCAAGTGGCTCAGTCATCGAGCCAAAACTGAGTTGCTCCGCTTCGAGGGCCTGGTCAACACATATAGGCATGTCACGGACACCAGGATGGACGACCGTGTGCAGCGAGGCTATCTGCTGGCCTCTATCCCAGCTAAGGGTAGCATGACGCTGCTGAAGGAAGAGGCGATGCGCAAGAATTCGCCACTGGACGAGATCAAGAGGGACCTGCGGCCCTGGGGCGAGTCGCACAAGGTCGTCGCGGCCACACGCCATCCTACAACGCCCCTCATGACATCTTAAGCATGACGACCAGCACAGCCCGCTCATCGTCGCTGTTCCGCTTCCCGAGAGTCCCCACGCCACAGCAGTCGTTCGCAGGCCTTCCGCCCCCCATCGCCTTCACGCCGGAGCAACAGAAGCACCGCACACGCATCGGGATGGTGAACTGCGACTTCTTGCAGTTCTGCAAGAAGGACCAGAAAGGTGGCTGGCGCTACTGCTTTATGCGTCACGAGAAGTGCCTCAATGGGGATCTGGATGCCATCAACTGGACACCACCCCCGCGAGGCAGCATGGGCAGCACAGCTCCATCCTCAGCGGATGCAGCAGCGGCGCCTCCCCCGCCACCTGCTCAAGCGATGGCGTTTGATCGCGAGCCCTTCATCTTGTGAGATGGAGAGAAGATTTGTTTGAGGAGGGGAGTGTGTTGTATGAAACGATGCAGTGCAGAATTGCTTTGCGTACGTACTTGCATACGTCTGCTTGTTACGTACTATTAATTCGTTTGTGTGTACTCCACTTCTTGCAGTGGCCTGCAAGAAGTGAGGAGGGGTGTTGGGTTTTTGCTATCTGTTTCACGTGTCCACCACTCTCCCTATTATTTTGACTGACTTGAGCGTTGACGTACACTGCTGTCTTGTCTGGCTCTGTCTTTCTGACATCCCATGCCTCCTCGTGTACCCAGGTGAGTGGCTCACAAGGAAGATAGACATAGGCAGCTCAGTCTACATGGATGCATGCGTGCGTGCATGCATGTTTGTGTATGTTGTGGCTACGGGTGGCTGCCGACAGAGATGTGAGTCATCGCACCGTTCGCTTTTACCATCGCGCTTTTACCATCGCGTACATGCAAACGAGTGCATTCACTGACGCAGGATCGATGGGGCACTCATGCGTGGCAACGGGAACGTTAGAGTCAACATCAATGCGATTGACGGTGTGGTGGTCGAGATCCTGCTGTGCCATGATAAGATCACGTTGGGATGCCCTGAGGCAAATTCTGATAGACATACACATATGAGTGGCGCTTGCTTTCGCTTTTTCTGTGTGTGTGTGTGCGTGTGCGTGTGTGTCTGACTCACTTTGTCTTCACATACCTGCGCACACACGAGCGGAATTGCAGGGGGCATTCATAGTGCACGTTTCTTTGTGCACACCTGCGCATACACGAGCGGACTTGCAGGGGGTATATAGAGTGAATGCTTCTGTGTACACAGGTTCAGGTCGATTCGTTGCCTTGCTGCGGACACACACATCCATTGCGTACGAATGCAATGGATGCCACTCATCCACTCTCCTTCTGTTTGTACTTGCGCACCTGGAGGTGCCGCCTCTTGACCCATCAAGCAAGAGGTCTCCGTCTTGCTCGTCGTCGCTTTGCTACAGGAACGAAGCAGACTCGAATGCGCCGTCCCGACTGTACCGGACTGTAATCATCCATAATCAGAGAAAGAAACAGCTCGGGGCTCCGAGCCCTTCCACAGCTTGGGGCTCAGGCCGTCCCTCCCAAAGAACCGTGAGGCAGGCGGTTTCATCGCGATCGTGCAGCGGTTTCACGTCATGCTCTACAGACTGTCTTCTTCCCTTTTTTCCTTTGAGCTTTCCCTTTCGTTGACCCTTTTGATCCTCTTCAGGTCGACGACCGCATCTTCTTGGTGCTTTCATCTTGTCCACGTGAGCTGTGAACACCAGAATGGTGTGTTCGAGGACATCGAGGGGTGAAAGCCACACAACATGACACACCAGGCTTCACGCATACCACGGTGTCTTCTCTATCGGATTGCCTTCACAGGACTCTCGCTGCGGAGGCGCTAGAGATCCTGAGAGAGCGAGGAGGAGGCTCCATACAGGGGCAACAGATGGGCGTTCTCCTGCAGGCACGGGCTCCCCTGCCATGCTTCGCAAGGGCAAGAACACTCCTACTCTCTGCCTGTCCCAAGATCTCGATCCAACGGCGTGCAGATGGGCAGCCTGTCTACTCGTTGGCTGACTGCGAGACTACTGTCGTGAAGGAGTCGGTGGCCATTTTGAGGGAGCGAGGAGGGGGGCCTGTGGATGGTATTCATATGGGCATTGCTCTGAGAAGCCGTTTGCCTTCCGCTATAGAATCGAAAAAGCATTCCCTGGTGGATGTGCTCTCCAAGTCCTCCGAAATCGTGGTTATGAGGCGGAATGATGCGGCGAGGCAGCCGGTGTATCAATTGCGGGAGCGGCCAGTGAGCTTGTCAGCGAGCAGCAGCGAGGATCATGGAAACGTGTGGCAGGGGACTACCTCTTCTTCCTCTTGTGATCACGGGCCTTTTGCGTGTTCTGATGATGCGGGAGTGCACCCACTAGCGTAACTAACGATCTACAGGGGGGTAACAGTACAGATGTTCAGGTGCGAAGAAGCGAGGCCCTGTACTCTCGTCTCCTCGCCCTTCCCCTCTCCTGTTTCCCCGATGATCGACGCTTCAGATGCCAAATAGACGGCGCTGTGCGATTTCTACTCGATTACAGTATCTACACAAGTACTGCTCTGGTCCTGCAGTATCGAGTTGTTCGTCGGTTGCTTGTGGATGCAGGGTAGGTGCCCTCGCGACACAGCAAGTGTGTCACTTTCCGGCCATCCATTTCGTGTCTGTCTTGTACACGCTGTCAGGAGCCAATTCAGGTGCGACAGGATGCAATCGGGGCGATGCCTGTCACTATGCCCACTCGCAGGCTGAACTGAAGAGTTGGAGGTAAGATATTGTCCAACCCAATCGTAAAACTCATGCATGACTTGTCATCGTTTTAGGGCTCTTGCTCAGGCCAAGGCGCCCCCATGCTCCCCTATCTTCGAGCAACATGGGGCAGCAGAGTTGTGGATGCAGAACCCACTGCTGTACGAGCCACTGCTCTCAAGCACACCATGAACAAGAAAACGCAAACGACCGAGTAAGGAAAGAAAGATGATTGAGTGTGCATTTGTGAAATTTTGCTTGCATGTTCGCAGGCCCGCTGATGTCGCCAGTGACGCAGGTGGTGTCATAAGTGGGTTGGAGAGGGAAATCACAGAGTTTAGAGACATTCATCATATACACACACTCCAAGTCCAAGGCGGCCTTCGACTATGATCTGCCCCAGGTGGCACAGCACGGGATTCGGGTGGTATGGCTGGCCGTCCAGTTTTACGTGCGGTGTCTAGTAGTTGTTCCCGAGCGGCCAGTTCAGCCGGATGTTGAAGCTGCTGCAGTCGATCTCCCACACGTTCTTGTGCACTTTGTCCATAGCTGCTGGCCCCAGCCGGCCGACCCGCGTGCCCCCCTCCAACTTGCCGAGACTGTGCTTCAGAGCCCGATCGTTAGATGCATGGTACACAGACACACGGTCCGCTGCCTTGCAGATCGACGACGGCGTATTGAGCACGCTGTCGGGGACGTCTGCGCTCACCTGCACACACAGCGAGGGGCATTATGTATTCGTAAGGGATTGCGTCTCCGCTCACCATGAAGATGTTGTGAAGAACACCTTCTATCGCATAGTTCTCGGCCGCACGAATGAGCGTCTTTCATAGAACGCGGTTGCCCATGGAATATGCCATGATGCTCAGCTTCTTGTTCAATACCAGGTTAGACTCCGAGGTCGGGCAATGGCTATCGTTCCTCGGCTCGCAGCACCTTGGCAAGCATTCGCTCGAATCCTGTTGCGGACGCATACGCAGATCGGCGATCATCCCAGTAATCTCGCACGTAGAGCCACTTGTCGCCACATGGCCAGATGAGACCTACCACCTTCACCGTGCTCGCGTCGTCCCCTCTCTCAGCCATTGTGTTGAACTGCCCTTGGATGTTGGCCGCCTGGTCGAGCGCACTTGTGGGCTGCGTGTTGAAGCCATGAATGGAGAACAGCACATGCTCAGCCTTGCTGTTGAGCAGACGCTTTAGAAGATCCCCAGAGAATATCTCTTGGTGTTCCTGGTCAGTGCCGCTCTGGCAGAAGCGGACGCTAGCTGAGGGATCGTTATCTGCCTCATCGAAGCTCACGGGACGGATGGGCTCCTCTGTCCCACCAAGGACGTTCGTTCGGTGGTTGGTGATGAACAGGAGCTCTCTGCACGCACGTGCATAACACATTCATCCGACAGGCAGACAATGAAGGCATGGTTGCACGGCTGAGGTTCCGCATCGTGATGCGTGTAACTCACCCGTCGGGGTCCACATCGTTTCGTCGGCTCTTGAGGGACGTAATGCAGCTCTTCAGGGGAGATCCATCAGAGCCGTGCAAGAAGCCAACCGGTGCGCCAGCTGGGGGGTCATGGCAGCGCACAACAGGGAGCGCGACGCACACCAGCAGAAGGCCCAATAACTTCATTGGCTGAAACACAAAACACTCATCATGCATCTTACGTCAAATGAAGCATGCAGTCTGTCTCCATTGCGCTCACTGTTCTCAATAGTTCTGGACCTCTTCTTTCTGGCGGGGCTGATGTTTCAGCGCACGCGTCCTTGAACGAGCACCCGTAGGCTCGTGAGCAGCCTCGGCTGTGGCCAAGCAACCCAGCTTGTGCAGCTTGTACAATCACGAGCCTGCGTTGGCCACAATGATCAGCAAATGAGATGGATGAAATACACTGCCCGTCGCCTGCCCGTTGCTCTGCTTTGCATGTGGCGCGTACCTGAAGCTGCTTCGGCACGTAAACCGCGTCCTGCAGCAGCTCCGGAAACAGTTACACGCTCTCGACCCTGGAAGCCTGCGAGCTGAGAGGCATTCCACGAAACCGCTCTCTCGAGAGAGCAAACAGATAGCGCAGAGAGAAGACAACTTTGTGTTTTTCTCGCCAGAGAAGTGCCCAGACTACTTCTCATCGCGTCGCTTTCTCATCTGTCGGTCAGTCGTCCGTGTGTCGGTCATCGTTCGAACAGGGCAACACGCCAGCCATCATACGCATGCCTGATGCTCACGGTCTTCGAACTGCCATAGACCAACACACTCAGCAGGTACACGCACACTCACACAAACACAGGGAGATGGGCGCGTATCACTCTTGTGCAACCCTTGTGCAACTCTTGCGCAGGTATCCAGGCCAGTCGATTCGCATCAGAGGGGGCTTTCCATGCATGAGGACCAACAGCAGGCACGAGCACAGACACAGACACTTGCATGCTCTCATGCTGCACGCGGGTGTGCATACTCACTTGCCCGTTCGTTCTCCAGCGTGAGCGTGAGGCTGCTTGGGAGCGGCAACGTCAAGAGGAGGAGTGTCCACCCCTTGGCGTTTTTGAGGCCGTGATGGCCGGCGATGTGCAGTCCGTCGCTCAGCTGATCGACGTGCACGGCAAGGAAATACTCGACAAACAAGACAAAAACGAAGTACGTGGGAAGAAGAAATGCACTCAAAGGTGTGGACTCCTTTCATTGTGGGCGCGTTTTATGGTGATTGCGGCATCCATCCTTGCAGGACACACCCTTCATTAAGGCTGCGTACTATGGCATGTCGGCGTCATGTCGGTCATGTATGAGAGATATGGGCCGTCGATACTGCAACAAACAGACAAGGTACCAAACCATCTGTGCTGTTGGTGATGATGATATGCATTGGCTGTGGAATGCAGGATGGGTGGACTGCAATGCACTGGGCTGCCATGTATGGCCGGCTTGCAGCTGTGCACCAACTGCTGGAGTGGAGCGGCGGTGGTCCCGAGCTGGTCAATGCACGCGACTGGGTAACAGCGTGCACACGTCTCCGACGCCTCCTTGTGTCGATTGCATGTGTATGTGTCGATTGCAGCAAGGCGCCACGCCGTTCATCACTGCTGCCACGAAGGGCCAAGTCAATGTGATGAAGATGATGTACGCCAGAGCAGGGAAGGTCCTCCTCTCACGGATAGACAACGTAAGGGACACAAAAGGACAACGTGAGAAATACGTGAAGACACACAGAACAACACATGAAGACATACAGAATGCTTTTCATCTGCTTGACTGTCCTTCCCCTTGTACGTGACACATACAGGGTGGAAACACGGCGCTCCATTTGGCTAGACGAGATGGCCAACATGCCGCTGAGGCCCAGCTGTGAGAGACACAGATGAATCATAAGATGACCTACTCTTTATCTCTCCTCTCCTCTCTCTCTCTCGCTCTCTCTCTCTCTCTCTCTCTGTCTCTGTGTGTGTGTGTGTGTGTGTGTCTGTGAAACAGGCTGGAATGGGGTGAGACGCCTCTCGTGCAAATCAAAAACAATATTGTAAGTGCACACAGAGTTGTAATATATCGATCGGTGGTTGATCCACTACGGTCATCCGAACAGGGCAACACGGCCAACACGCGTGCTACCTCTATTGGCGTTGATTGTCGCATACAAGATGGTGAGCGTGAAGATGAGGCTGCTTGGGCGTGGCAACGTCAAGAGAAGGAGAAGCGTCAAGAGAAGGAGAAGCGCCTGGAGCGTGAGGTGGACCTGAACCTGCAGATGGGAGGGTTGGTGCGAGAAGACATCCGCAGCCGTCTTGAGTCCTACGGCTCTATGGCCATCATTGCATCGCTTTCAACGGGCTTTGCCTTCACGGTGCTGACCAATTCTGACAGCAAGTTCGAGAAGCTCGAGGAGGCTCCGTATGCCATACGCGTGATATTCAGTTTGACCACTGCCCTCGCTATTGGCTGTGGTGCTTATGCGACGCTGGTGCTTGTGGTGCTACAGTCGACTGGCCACGCTGCTCTCGGCCATGGTGGTCTGAAGTTCCCCTCTGAGCTGGCCTGGCGTTTTGATCGAGGCATCCTCCAAACAACATGCTCGAGTATCTTCCACACCTCTGCACTCCTAGGCGTGTTCCTCAGTATCGCGTCCGTCTTCTTCAACGCCATCTGCATGTTTTACATGCATCTTTATTATGCGGCCAGGGCCCAGGAGATCGAGCCCACCAATGCCACCGACGACGTGGCTATGAAAGCGAATACAGGCCTGTTGCGTATCTGTGAATCTACCCTTGTGGTCTTCTTCTTTCTCGGGACCTTCGCGTGGCTTTGGTACTTAGCCATGTACCAAAACAAGGTGTCCAAGGTGGCCCAGTTGTTGCGGGAACAAGTGAAGGAGTGGACTAATTTAAGGAACGCTGATGCGCCGAAATGGAACGAGAAGAGACGCAAGGCGCTGAACAATGTTCAGTCGGATTGGTTATTGCCGCTCTATCTGCCTTTCCCTAGCAAGGCTTATGAGGAGGGCCAATCTAGGCAAACTATGGCCATCCGCACGCCTGGGTTTATGCGACTGGCCATTTTTGAGGATCCGCACGCTTCGGTGAACAAGCATGCCTGCACAAAAGCAGAACAACAACTTCGGATGGACCTTGCTGAAACTGATGTTTGTTCCCTCGAGTCCCCCTGGTCCATCGCACACGAGGAGCCGACTCGTGAAGCGACCGCACGCCCCACTTCGCAGAGGGCTGCCTACCGAGGTCAGGAAGGATTTTGGCTTCGCTTGAGGCGTTTGCTTTGCTGCTATCGTTCTGACGACTCGAATTCGTCTCGTGAAACTCGGGTGGCTTAGGTAGGCTCAGGTAGTATTCTTTTGTTTCCCGTCTAGCAGTGCGTCTGTAGAAATCTGGTGGTTTGCGCACTCACTTCAACTTGCACTTCACTGCTCTGGCGGGCTGTGGTATTTCTGTGTCTTTCATGTGATCTTTTTCGCCTTCTCTTGTCTCTGCACAGAGCCGTCGCCAACAGTGTGACAGGCTCCCCTTCTCTTTGTGAGCCAATGAATGCTCTTTTTCTCTGTGTCGATGGCTGTGTGGCTGCTGACTGCATGTCTTGTTTGCGACGGAAGGGGATGGGCGGGGTGCAAGGGATAGCTGCTCGTGTGTGTGCCTGTGGAGGGATGCTCACTGTAGATGCTCCCCTCCAACCATCATTCGATTTGGTCTCGAGATGACCAATCGAATGATCAATCGAATGAACTACGGTGCATGGTGGGAGGGACCCTCGCGGAATCGAGGTGAGCGCTTGCATGTATAAGGAAGTGTCTTTGGGTTGACATGTGGGGCTGGCTAGTGAATTGTGGATTTTTTGCCCCCTGTCCAGTAATGCGTCTGTAGCATTTTGGTGATTTATGCACGCGCTTTCGAGTTGCATATCACTCTGGCAGGCGTCTTTCATGTGGCCTTTTTCGCCTCCTCTGGTCCCTGCATTGAGCCGTCGCCAACAGTTGTGATTGGCCTCCTGCTTTTTGTCGAGCCTCTTATAGGGATGCCTGCGCCGATGAATGAATGCTCTCTTTCTCTGTGTCAGGGGCCTGTTAACTATGCGGCTGCTGACTGCATGTCTTGGTTGCGACGCCTCCTGCATGGGGTTTGTGTGTCACTTTCGTTGTGACTGCAGCCAGTCAATGTCCAAGCACTTTTTCGGATCCACCAGATGGAGAGCTTTTGGTAGCCAGTCCCGTCCAAGTCGGTGGGGCATCGCACGCGTGTGAGTATGTATGTGTGCATGCATGTATTATCTGTCTGTAAGCACGTATGCATGTGGCACAACAGCCGATCCACCATCCATCCATCCAAGCATAAGTATATATACCCCCCATGATTGAGTTGGTGATTTCTCGGCTGTTTCTCCTCCTTTTCGGATGAGCGAGCGTGTATCGGACTACACCCAACCCCCTCCACCT